ACTACACAAAGCCACTCTACATATTCCAGAAGACACAGCAGCTCTATCTTATACATAGAAAGAAACACCTGGAAGCAGCCAAAATGTGGAAGCAAAGAAACATGTCACAAAGGAAAGAACAGAAGAAATCTCTAGAAGAGGAACTAAATGAAATAGATCCACGCAAGCTAACAGATAGAGAGTTCAGAATTTTGGTTATAAGGATGTTTAAGCAGACTGTTANTTTAAGCAGACCGTTAGGGAAATAACTGAGAAAATCGATGACATAATAAAGTACCAATTTGAAATGAAGGCTACAGGAACTGAAATGAAGAATAATTTACAGGGAATCAACAGTAGAGTAGAGGACGCTGAGAATCAAATCAGCAATTTGGAACATGAGGAAACAAAAAACACCCAACCAGAAGAGCAAAAAGAAAAAAGAATCCAGAAATATGAAGATAGTATAAGGAGCCTCTGGGACAACTTCAAGAGGCCCAACATTTGTATTATTGGGGTGCCAGAAGGAGAAGAAAGAGAGCAAGAAATTGAAAACCTATTTGAAAAAATAATTACAGAAAACTTCCCCTACCTGGGGAAAGAAATAGACTTACAAGTCCAGGAAGCACAGAGGGTCCCAAACAAGAGGAACCCAAAGAGGCCCACAGCAAGACACATCATAATTAAAATGCCAAAGGTTAAAGACAAAGAGAGAATCTTAAAAGCAGCAAGAGAAAAGCAATTAGTTACCTACAAGGGAGCACCCATATGACTGTCAGCTGATTTCTCAACAGAAACCTTGCAGGCCAGAAGGGAGTGGCAAGAAATATTCAAAGTGATGAAAAACATGGAACTACAACCAAGATTGCTCTACCCAGCAAAGCTATCATTTAGAATTGAAGGTCAAATAAAGAGCTTCACAGATAAGAAAAAGCTAAAGGAGTTCATCACCACCAGACCAGCACTACAGGAAATGTTAAAGGGTCTTCTTTAAGAAGCTAATGAACAAAAGAATCTGATGAACTAAATAGATCCAGAGACATTGACACATGCAACAGACGATCATATTTCAGAGGAAAGAAGGAAGGGGGGTGGAGGGTGGGAAGAGATTAATCAAAGAAGTTATATGCATATATGTATAACCCATGGACATAGTCAATAACAGGGTGAAGGCCTAGGGAGGGGGTGGGAGCGAAGTGGAGGGGGTCAATTGTCGGGGAAAATGGTATACCTGTAATACTCTCAACAATAAAGATAAATTTAAAAAACAAACAAACAAACAAAAAACACATGAAAAACTTAGCATTTGCCTGCCTGGGCAAAAAACAAAAGCAGGTTTTTCTTAGGGGAACAGGACCATTTGACGTGAGGGAGCAGTAAGAGGGCAAACATGCCACATGGGGCTTGAAGAGAGGTTGAGAATTATAGGAGTCTGCCTGCCTCATCCCCATGTCAGAGTGCTCAGGAAAGGACCCCCTCACCTGGGGCAAGAGGACTTGGGAATCACCTCCAACCTCCCCACCCCCATAATTCCCTTCATCCGGGGTGCCACAAATCCTTCCTGAAGCCCCTAACTGCCTAGAGTTTAAGCGAAAGCATCAGGTCCCCCTGCCACCTCTAGAAGGTTCCTCAAGGCTGGGGAATAAGAATAGAGATTCCTCCATTAGCGCAAAGGCTTAGCTGAAGAAGCAGCAAAGTTCAAGTCCACCTCTGAGTGGACTGTGCTGCAGCACTAACAATAATAATCATCACCACCACCATATGGTATGCTTACTATGAGACAGACACTGCCTTAAGTTCACTGGGTGTATTATTTCATTTCATATTCAAACAACCCTATGAGGGAGGTATTATTAAGATTCCTTTTTACAAATAAAGAAACAGGCTCAGAGAGAGTAAGCAGCTTGTTGAAAGTTAATAGTAGCAATTAAGTGATGGGGTTGAGAACTGAACCCACATCTGTCTGCCTACCTCCAGAGCCTGAGATCTTAAGAATCCACTAGAGGTACAACAGCTGGGCAATCACTCCTCCCCGTCAAAGAAAAGCGGGAGGCCTGGTGTCTCAGGTCTGCAGGATGGGACCACTCCACCTGCAGCCCCACTTACCACCCACTGGGACCTGTGGTCCTCAGCTTCTACTCACAGCCTTACCTCTATCTGGTCAATGGTTTCCTGATATTCCTTCTCCCGGGTTTTGAACAAGGATTCGGTGTCTTTAATCACCTTCTCCAAACTGTCTTCCTGCTGCTGGAGTAGAAAGGGAAGCATGGGTGGAGGGGAGGGGCAAGGCGGAGGGATGGGATGGGATGGGATGGGATGGGATGGGATGGGATGGGATGGG